TGGATTTGCCAGAGAAGAGTGGTTCCATGAGCCAGGCGTTTATGTGCCCAAATTCGTCATACAATTTACAATCCCTGTGCACTTGCTGAACTGTGCTGAGATGGACAACACCCTCGAAACTAGACTGTATCACAGGCGCCATCAGCCCAAGAGCAGAGAGACCTGTAAACAACCAAAGAAAGGCCCATTCTATGTTTCCTCACCCTGCTTGGCTCATCACCCTAGAACCAACCACCCTCTTCGGTGCCACAGGGGCCTGCAAATACCTCTGCCAATGCACTTCCCATGTAGGACCACACCATGCCCACTATACGCTGAGCCCTTCTGGGCCTTGGTCATCATGTTAGTCTATTTTCTGTTTCTATTCATACAATACCACAGACTAGATAAGAGAAAAAGAAATTTATTTCCACTGATAGCTCTGGTCCAAGGTGGAGAGGTCACATCTGGAGATGCCTGTCTTGAGAGTAAAGACAGTGCAGGGCATCACAAGGAGTGCGTGTGTGTGTGTGTGTGTGGGGGGGGGGGGGGGTATGGGTATGTGCATGTGTGTCCTCTGGCCTCTCTCTTCTTAAAAAGTCACCAGTATTCATACCATCACAGGGCTCTACCCTGATGACCTTTTTAATCCTAATACTCTAGAATTCCAAAGGCCCTACCTCTAAACACTACCATTGGATTAAGTTTCAATCCTCTCAGTAGCTCACAATGGGGGTTTAACTCCACCATGAGTCTGAGGGGGCAAACCCTGTTCAAACCACAGCAGTCATCCTAAGTATCATCATAAACCAGGATCACACTTGCTCAATAGAAGTACCCTGGAGGCTAAAAGGCAAGCACAGATCACAGTCCTGGATGGCACACTGCCCTGTGCCCATGCGGCTTAGACCATGCACAACTCCTCTTTCTCTTGCTGCCCCAGTACCTTGGTGGCAGGGACTGGGACCCCTGATCCATGAAGCAGAGCTGTCCACTCAGGCCTCCTGGGCTTTCTGCTGAGGCAGGGACCACTGCCAATCCAACAAAGCACCCACCACTACTAACTGATGGTTTGCAGTTATGGAGGGAAAAGGGCAAGGGTTGGGAGGAAAAACCACGGGGCAGTGAGGCACCTTCCTGAAGAACCGAGATTCTGTTTGCAGCCTGTTAAGAGTGGCAGATCCGAGTTACGGGTACTATGAGGGATGGACGCCTACACCTCTGAGCCGAGGCAGTGATGTTGGATCCCCTGCTTTCTCAGAGGTAAGCACGACCTCAGCTTTACTGCTTGCATTACCTCAGAAGACTCCAGCCCTTATACCCTGGCACCACGTAAAAGCCCAAAGTCTCTATCTGCACAAGGCTCCCTTCCATGTGTAGGCACAGTCAAAACCCAGGGTGTCCCCTAACTCATCTGGGGCCAGCTGCCTCTGAGCCACACCTCTCTGCATAGGCAAGAAGTCCTACCTGGCCTCCCACACCCACCTAACTGGCATCACTTTTTCCATGGAACTTCCTGAGCTATTCCCACAGCTCTGACCATGGGTGCTCGGACAACTCAGCCTGCATGACTTTTTCTGTCCACCTAGAACAGAGGATGGCATCTCTGTGAGGCAGGTCCATGATCACCCCTGAACAATTCACAGAAGCTGGCGCACACGGTAACTGAATTTAATGAGAAAGATCATGTCCATGTCCGAAAGATTCCTAGAACACAGAATCCTGAAGCTTTCCAAAAAAGAGTAGCCATTATTTGTTAACATACTTCTTAGAGTTATATTCTGAGGTAATGCAAGCAGTAAAGCTGCTACAAAAATAATAATAATAATAATAATAATAATAATAATAATAATAGCCTGAGTGGCTTAGAAATGGTAGCAATCTATTTCTGGAGTTCCAGAAGCTAAAGGTTCGAGGTCAAGGCAGATTCCGTACCTGGTGAGGGCCCACCTCTGGTCCATAGATGGTGCTTCTGGCTTTGTCCTCACATGGGGGATGGGGTGAGGCAGCTCTCTGTGGTCTCTTTGCTAAAAGGGCACTAATCCCATTTGTGAAGGCTCCACCCTCATGACCTAATCACTTCCCAAAGGACCCACCTTCAAATACTGTCACAACAACTGGGGTCAATAAAAGGAACACAAATATTCTTTTTTTTTTTTTTTTTTTAGCTGATGGACACAATATCTTTATTTTATTTTTATGTGGTGCTGAGGATTGAACCCAGGGCCTCACATGTGCTAGGCAAGCAAACTACCACTGAGCCACAACCCCAGCCCAAGGAACACAAATATTCTGACCTTACCTTATGAGAATCCATTGAGTATTCTCATAACATAATTTTAAGGTCCATAATAAGGGAAAGGCCTATAAAACTATCCCAAGGAGAGAAGATGGCAGACATTTCTAGAACACAATAAGCTTCCAAGTCCCCTCAGTGCATGTGAACCCTGGGCCACAACACACACTGTGCTGTAAACCATTCTTGCTGTGGCATCTCTTTTCCCCAGAAATCAGAATGGGTTTGCTTCCAACAGCTCCCACCACTGCAGATTCCTCCCTAGTGCCATCTGCCTCCCCCTTGCATTGGAATTTCCTTCAGGCTGGGAGTCTGGAGGCAGGGAAGAGATCCTCTTATCTTCCAGAATATGGGCCTCTTCCTTCTTAAGGATCTGTGGGTATCAGACATATGGAACCACCATGGATTTTTCACTGTGGACATTCAGTAGGAATAATAAACTGATTGCCACAAAGCTGCCTGCAGGCCTTCTGACCATCTCATATAGCCCTTAAAATAACCTCAGGGTAAAACTGTTATACTGGACCCAACACCTTAGCCTCTGAGTAGGAGCAGACTTTGCCCATGTGGGGGTTAGGAGAAGTGCACGGTTCGGCTGTCTGAACTCAGTCTTTGCTCCTCAATTATACCTGTCCCCACACTGCACAGAGCATGTAAATTCTGATTCAGGGGACCCCTTGAATGTGAGCCTCTGCCACAGCATCATGGTTCAATCAACCATGATGCTCCTTGACCTTATTCTCATACCAAAGAGTCATATTTGGGGATCCAAATTTTAAAATAAGACTATTTCTATGAGAATGAGATTCACAATATAGAAAGACTTCAAGGGCCCCTAACCCTGCTGTATTTCTGGAGGGGTGCAGGGCCCCTACCAACCCCAGAGGGCAGACACACAGGCACTGCTGTCTTCACTCACAGTCACTCTGGGGCAAGCCTGACGGAGAGGGGTGCTACTCTGACGGCAAGGGTACCATTTCTCATCACCATACATGTATACACAGAAAGGGACACTGTGCTATGGCTGATGTGACCCTCCTACACTGAACAAGCTGTGCACAGGAATTGCCAGTGACAGGCCACAGTTCTCAGAGCAACCAGGATATCATGGAGTGCAGCACTCCATGCAGACACAGGCCAGAAAGTCATGGATCACCCCCATGTCGCACCAGCTGGCCTGGAGTAGACTGTAAACCCTGTTCTCTGCCCAGAGGCAGAAAATTCCTCAGATGCCTCCCTGGCCTCTGACTTCTGATTGGATTCAACTCCCAGGGTGCTCCAGAGGGAGGTCACAGTCACAAAGGACAGTGAGGTTGCCCTCCACACAAGGTCACCTCTGTCACGTCCTTCTCAAGGCTACCCACTCCTTGGCTCATTCTTTCCTCTAGGCCTGGGGGCAGGACAGCCAGTCAGCACTGCACAGGCATGCTCTGTGGCTGCCCATAACCACTGCTCTGCAATCAGTCCCTAGAGGAGGCCCCGCCCATGTAGGGAAGGTTTGTCCACCCCTGGGTGGGCTTCGTCAGTGCCACAGATGAGGAAAGTCAATCTCAGAGTCAGCCTCTTTTGCAGGTTGGGGACGTGTCTGGCCAAGTGCCTTGCAGGATCTCAAGAGCTGCATCAGAGCAGAAGGGGAGGGGCGGGGGAGTGCTCCAAACCTGAAGGACTCAAGTAGGAAGGTAGCACCTGACAGGCCTGAGGGATGGGAGCCACCGGGAAGCAGTGCAGGGAGGGAGAGGAGGCAGTGGTCCCTGAGCCCACTGAGCCCACTCTTCCACACTGATTGACATAGCAGAGTTCAGACAGGAGCACCAACCACTGACTGCTGTAGGGACCCTCAACTTGGTGGCCGCAGGGAGGAAAGAATCAAGGAGGTCCAACACCACAGAAGCCCACTAGCCGACACTCAACAAATTTTCCAGAAAAGAAATCCCCCAAACCCACAGAAAATGTAATACCTAAGAGTAGACGGTACACACTCTTCAAAGGCCAAGTCTCCACTGTTTGACGCACCCCTACTAACCCACCCAACCACACATCCATTACGCAGCTTAATTAAAGAATTAGTGAATTCCATTAACTGCATGATGTTCAGGGATCAAGTAGCCAAGCTGGTGGCTATTTAGAGACAGGACCAATGACTTGTAAAAGAGCCTGCAAGGGTCCACACCACAATAAACCCAAACTTTAAAGAATAGATAAACTTCATTTGCAAACTTTGGTAAGAAATCTGAAAGTCGCTGGGAATGGTGGCACACACCTATAATCCCAGCAACTTGGAAGACTGAGGCAGGAGGATTGCTAGTTTGAGGCCAGCCTCAGCAACTTAGCAAGACTCAATTTCAAAATAAAAACTAAAAAGGGCTGGGGATGTGGCTCAGTAGCTAGTACCCCTGGGTTCAATCCCTAGTACAAAAAAATGGGAGGTCTGAAAGTCAAATTGAATAGAGAGAGCTACAGACTACAGAAGAGACCAGAGAGTAGATCGTGAGTTATCAATGTCTCCTATCCCATGGGAGTAAATTCTCTTTCTGGGAAAACCTCCTCATGAGCACATATCTGCGTAAATATGATAGGTCTCTACCAACTACAGGTGGAGGGTGAACATAGGCCACAAAGGGAGAGTCCATGGTTTAATTTTGGAAACTCCAGTAAGAACGGTTTTATTTCGCTATGTCCGTTTGCTCCAGTTCAATCAGTGAGTGAATCATCAGCATGTACTTACCTCGGCATGAAAGCCCTTGACCATCAATGATTTGTTTGCAAACTCCACAGGCTTTGGGTTTTTTAAAAGCCTTTTTCTTAAAACTGTGCAGACTCGTGGTAAATTCTTCTGGCTGAAAAAGTAAAGGAAGAAACTGTCAGCACTTCAACTCATGGTTTGTTTCTTCTTTCCTTTTCCTTCTCAGGAGATAATAAATCTAGTTGAGTTTGTAAAGAGCTAAAACAGGGACTTTACCAAGCAAACAAAGAACAAGAAAGCATCTCAGCAATGCTAAAATTCCCAAGGCAAGGACACGGGGTGGGTCAGCCTTCTGGATCCCAGAGTCACAGACAGCAATTCTCTCATCCAACGTGCACATCCCTGCGTGGGGGTGGCCGGAGCATGACATGAACCAACATTTATCAATCTGTTCCCTTCCAGACTGGAGGCTGATGTCATCTACTTCTGTGACAAAGTAATTCATACACACTCCCAGAGTCTCTTTCTTCTGAAAGAAATGATTAGCAAATAGTACAAAGATGTGAAGGGGAAAATGACTGTTTTCCCCTCAAAGGCATTCAAAAGGTGCCACAAAATCACCACCAGTGAAGTGTCTGAGCCTCTCTGGGCCAATGTGCTTGCTCTTCTGCAGAAGAGACCATTGTAAGACCAGCTTGTGACATGTATTTGCTTCCTCCTTAACATGGTTACAAGAAATAGTACTAGGAGGAAATTAGCTATTCACCCACCAAATTATATTTGTGTCAAGGCTCATAGCTATAGCTGATGAACTTAGAAGAATTTAGTTTACTGTAGTAACCAAATGTCATCCTACACCTAGCTGCTGATGTGTGATAGTGCATTCTGTCAGTATTAATATATCTAAGGCTATTAGACAATACACACCCATTGAGGCCATTACTCCCCGACCAGAATAATTAAAATTTGCTATGAAAATAAAATGTTATTGAGAACATGAAACAAGTGATACAATAACTTTGGAAAAGAGTTTGACAATGTCTTATAACCAAACATATACCTGCCCTATGATCCACTCTTATGTACACTAAAAAGATCTAAGTGCCTATGTTCAAAAAAGATCTGTACAAGAATGGTCATGACAGCCTTATTTAAAAGCACCACAAACAGGAAATAAACCAAATGTACACCATAAGGTGAACAGGGGGCAGGAGGGAACTATAGCATATTCATATGGCAGAATACTATTCAGGAATACTTAAGCACTAATTATTTATACATATAACAACACAGCTGAACATCAAAAGCATTATGCTAACTCAAACATGCAGGAACCCACGAAGAGCAGTTTACTTATAGAATGTTCATGAACAGGCCAACTTGTCTATGTTAACAGAAGTAATAACAGTCAGCTGGTGGGGGGGGGGTGTGGACTACAGAGGGCGTGAGAGAACTTTCTGGGTGGAAGAGGTACTGCCTCATGCTCTGGATGGTGGTCACACAGGGAACCCACAATGACAGTCCTTAACCTGTGTGCTTGAAAGTTTGGCATTTTACTGTATAAAGATCTCTACGAAGGGTTATATTTAAAAAAGACATCCTAGAAAGAGGTTGGCAATATGGTTTGGAAGATGAGGTTAAAACATAATAGCGGGGACTGGGATTGTAACTCAGTGCATGAGGCACTGGGTTCAATCCTCAGCATCACATAAAAAAAATATATAAATAAAAATAAACTGTTTAAAAAAAAACCCACATATAATCACATTTTTTTGTTGTTTTTAAATCTGTAGAACCTTCAACTTCTGATTCAGATATAGTACCAGGAACTAGATTTATCCTCACATCTGAAATAGTAAAAAAAAAAACAAATCAAACATCCAAAACAATTGCTTTTAGACACTGTGTCAGAAAAATGGAAGAGTGATAAGAAGGCCTTGGTCAATACACACCTCACATATGACACTGGTCCCATAAGACTATAATGAACTTGGGAAATTCCCATTATCCAGTGATATTGTAACCATCTTAGTTTATGTAACTACACTCTATGATTTTGGCACAATCATGACATGGACTAATGATGTGGTATATTTTCCAGAATGCATCTTCATTGTTAGGCATTATAGGACTGCAGCTCCAGGAGAAGAGAAAATAAGATAAATTCCAAGGTTACCCCCAGATACCTGCCTTCAAAAGATTTTCCGGGCTGTAGAGAAGAAAAGGAGGAAACAGACTGAGCCCAGTGTACTACCTGGGTTGAGCAAAGCAGCAAGAATTTGCGAGAGACAGTACCATGGAACAGAGAGCTGCTCAGAACTCCTAAGCCCTGCATAAGGTCTCCCTCAAACATTCACCTGGGTACTGACAATTGTGTGTGTGAGTGTGTCTCTGTGTGTGTGTAAGCTATCCGAAGCTGGGGAAAGAACTACTAAATAGGATTAGAGGAAATAGTATCCAATGCTCACACGGAAAAGGGAATAGTACCTGCTTCCACAGCCCAACTGGGAAACCTCAAAATTCATAGTGATAGAAAACAGGAGGATTTTATCTTACTCATGGGGAAGAGTTCGCTCTAGACTCAACACTGCTCTTGACTTATCCACCCTCTCTGAAAAAAAAGCACTACCCAGAAAGGATCAAACCGTTTCCAAGTAACTTAATTACATTCCAGGACAAAGCTCAAGAATACTTGAGAGCAAAATTAGGAGAGCAAAATTTTCCAGCATCTAAAGTAACAGTGACAATCTCTGGTAGCCAGTCAAAAGTTACAGGACTTTTGGGCTGGGTGTTAGCTCAATGATAGAGCCTAGCATGTGAGAGGCACTTGGCTCTGTCCTCAGCACCACACAAAAATAAAATAAAGGTATTGTATCCAAGTACAACTAAAAAAACAAAATATATATATTTTTTTTAATTACCAAATAAAATAAAGACACTGTATTCACCTACAACTAAAAACTTGGAAAAAAAGTTATCAGACTTTTGAGATGAGGTGAGAAAATATAACTTATAATGAGAATAATTAATCAAAACTAACCTAGAAAGGATGTTAAAAATAGCAAACAAGAATCTTAAAAGAGTTACTATAACTGCACTGTAAGTGTTCAAAAAGTGGAGACTTAGAAAATATAAAAAGACCCAAGTCAAACATCCACAGAAGAAACACAGAAAACTCTGAGGTGAAAAATATACTGGATGTGATTAGTGGCCAAACAGGCACTGCAAAAACCAAATGGATGGAAGACATCACAATAAAAACCTCCCAAAATAAAGCAAAAGAGATATATTCGACCTAGATAAACAAAAAAGTGAGCATTCGAAGCTGTGGCAGAGTTTTGTTATTATTGTTTTTCAGCTTAAATACATGCAAATTTTTATTTGCTAATTATATCTATGGGAGAGTTTTAATAGCAGAATACACCCATAATTGAAATCCCTGAAGGAAAGAGCAGAAAAGACTATTTGAATAAATAATGGCTGAAATTTTTCCAAACTAAGATGAAAACTATAAACCCAGACGGTCAAGAAACAACAAATCCCTCATACAAAAAAGGCGACAGAAATTACCCCAACACACCTGATAATCAAATTGCTCAAACCCAACAATTAGGAGAGCAACCTGAGGGAAGCTAGGCATGGTGGTGCACACATACAATCCTACCTACTTGGGAGGCTGAGGCAGGAGGAGGGCAAGTTCAAGGCCAGCCTGGACAACTTAGCAAGACCTGTCTCAAAACTGAAATTTTTAAAAAGGGGCTCTAGAGTACTTGCCTAAATTGTGTGAGGTCTTTCTTTTTTCTTTTTTCTTTTTTCTCCTACCACTGAGCTATACCCACAGACTTTTTCTTTTTTTTTTTTTTTTTTTGATACAGGGTCTCACTAATTTATAGAGACTGGCCTTGAATTTGCAATCTTCCTGCCCCTGACTTCTGAGTTGCTGGGATCACAGGCATGTGCCACTGCACCCAGCTAGAATGTGTGCAATTCTGGGTTCAACCTATATATATAGTATGGGGGGAAATGGTAACAAGAGGAAAGAAGAAGACACAAAGATACATGACATGCAGGGGACCAAGCATTAGAATAACTGATGACTTCTCATTTTAAAAAGTAAGCAATACAAGTGAGAAGTCAGCCAGGCATGGTGGTGCATTCCTGTAATCCCAGCAATTTGGGAGTCTGAGACAGGAGGGCTGCAAGTTTGAGGCCAGCCTTAGCAACTTAGCAAAGCCTAAGCAACTTAGTGAACTTCTCTATTAAAAACAAAACAAAAAATAAAAAGGGCTAGGGATATAGCTCAGTGATAAAGTACCCTTGGTTTAAATCCCCACTACAAAAAAAAAAAAAAAAAAAAGCAAGATGGTGGAAAATAGTAAAGAAGTCTTGAAAATCTAGAACTTTGTGCCCAGCAAAAAATGTCTTCCAAAAATGAAAGAGAATAAAATAAACTTATTAATATATTCAAAAACTGAAAAGTTGAAAGAATTTATCATTAGCTGACATATAAGACACGTTAAAGATAATCCTTTGGCGAAAAGAAAATGATAGATGGAAATACAACTTTACATAAAAGAACAAAGAGAGCGAGAAAGAGTAAGCACATGGGTAAATATGTAAGATTTATTTCTTATTATTGAAGGATCACTAAAACATTGACAAAAGTTTAAATAAAAATAGAATGCAATGTGATATTTAACTCTCATAGCACGGATGAAGTGATACAATATCACTTGAAAGCAGACTACGATAAGTTAGAGAGGTATACTATAAACCCAAAGGCATACTCCAAAATAGTGAATTGCTGGTAAGAAGCCAACAAAGGAAATAAAATGAAATCTTAAGATAATTTAAGTCATCTAAAAATGCCCCCCCACTACCACCACCAAAGAAGAGGAAAACAACAAAGAAAATGTAGGAGAAATAGAAAACAAGAAATCAACCAGAGGGAAGCCAGGTATGGTGTACACATGTGATTATTAATAGGCTTAAATATGTCCTTGCAATATTATATATGATGACATATTTAAACCTCATCATACTGATAATCATATGTGTATAAACAGTGTAAGTATCTCAGTTATAAGTGAGGTACTGGGGCTGGAGCTGGAGCTCTTGCCTCACATGTGTGAGGCACTGGGTTCGATCCT